GTGTATGTTAATAAAGTTTATTTTGTTAAGTGATATGCTAATCTTAACCCTAACATGTTACTGCATTATGATAAATATCTTAAAATATTATTTTGTTTATAATTTGTGTGGTTTTTAGAATGCTGTCATATATATTTATAGCTATTTCACTTGTGCGTATGCATGCTCATGGTGGATGTAAATTTAACTTGTTTCAGACCAGATGATGCTGTATTTAACTTAGGAGATCTTGATAAACATATGACTTAAGGTTCACTTAAAATGTTAAATACATTAACTCTATAACTGAACTCTAATAATATTCTGCCTTACAACTTGTGGTTTCCTGCCTCTCTCACAATAACCTATACAGTGGTGCCTCACATTGCGATGTTAATTCGTTCCGCAAAAATCGCTGTTGACTGAAAACGTTGAAAAGCCCATAGAAATGCATTAAAACCTGATTAATGCGTTCCTAGGGGCTTAAAACTCACCATTCAGCGAAGATCCTCCATAGCATGGCTATTTTTGGTGCCTTTTAAGCGAGGCATCCGTCCCAGAAAACAGCGGGCGGCCATTTTGAAACTGCCGATCACCTGATCGGTTCCCGAAGCAGGGAACCGATCATCGCAAAGCGATATTCCCCCGTAGGGAATATCGCAAAGTGATCGCTTTTGCGATCGCAAAAAGTTCATCGCAAAACTATTTCGTCGCTGAACAGAGCGCTCGCTAAGCGAGGCACCACTGTATTGAGATGATGGCGACATACAGAATTTTCTCTTTGTGATATATTTGTGCAGCTATGAATAACTGAATAATGTAATATAACTTTTAAACTAAGTGACCTTTGATAGGATTTTTTTTATTGAAAATGCTTTTATTCCCTGAAAGAATGGTGTAACATTTGTGATAACAGTGATGAAAACAACTGTTAATAAGATTGCTTAGCAAACATAGTTCTTGGAAAACGTCCCTGGATTCTTTGGCTGTTAGACAATTGAGAACTCATACCCATGACACAGCAAGTTAGGGAAAAAGCTGGTTAGTAAATAAAATGTTTTCTTGCTACATATGTGAAAGTGCTGTTAATCACCTGTTCATAAAATGGAGATAATTTATTTAAAATGTTTTTACCCCACCTTTCTCCTTAAAATTATCCAAGGCAGCTTACATCCTTAAAAGACAGTGTTAAAGCTGACAACAGTGTGTATACAAATATTAAAAAGGATCACCAAATACCATAGAGATAACATAAGCAACATCAAAACACATTCAAAGCACATACTGTTATAATGTCTAGGTTTAGAAAGAAATCTTACATTATTAGTTTATTGAAGTATTGCATCTTGTCAACTTGGTTGTGGTTCTGAAGCAGACTAAGGTGATCTCTGTTGAAAGAGAGATGTGGTGTTGATTCTTCTTGGCCTCTTAATGGCTTCTCTAATCATAAACATGGTCTCCTTCTGGAGCAGCTGTTGGAATTGGGTTTTGGCAGGACTGCTTTGTGGTCCCCAACCTTTCCCCAACTGCAGACCGGTGGGGGGACGTGGCACGCTCGTGTGCAGGTGCATAGCAGCACTTGCAGGTGCCAGTTTGCGTGCATACACATGGTGCACCCACAGGGAGAGGAGCATGTGCATGCACATAGCATAATCGCAGGGGCAAAGTGCGCTCATGCGCGTGCACACAGTGATGCACGTGGGGGCACATGCACATGGTGCACTCAAAGGGTGGAGTGCACTTGTGCGTATGCATGCTCATGGTGGAGCAGGAGACCTGTGTCCATGGCCCAGTCTGCAGGTTGGGGACCCCTGCTCTAGAGCAGTGCTTCTTAACCTTGGGTAACCCAGGTGTTATTGGACTGCAATTCCCAGAAGCCTTCACCACCAGCTATGCTGGTTGGGACTTCTGGGATTTGGAGTCCCAGAACACCTGGGGTACCCAAGGTTAAGAACCACTGCTCTAGAGGAACAAACCTGGGTTACCCAAGGTTAAGAACCACTTCTCTAGAGGAACACTTTCAAAATGTGAGCTGGAAGGTTTCTCCTTTACTCTGTGTTAGCTTTGTTTGTGATCCTACAAGGTTCAGTCTTACCCCATCTTGTTTAGTATCTATTAAATCACCACCCATGGTTACTTGGGGGAATTAGAATGTATTTGTTGTTGTTGTTGTTGTTTAGTCGTGTCCGACTCTTCGTGACCCCATGGACCAGAGCATGCCAGGCCCTCCTGTCTTCCACTGCCTCCCGGAGTTGGGTTAAATTCATGTTGGTAGCTTCAATGACACTGTTCAACCATCTCATCCTCTGTCGTCCCCTTCTCCTGCCTTCACACTTTCCCAACATCAGGGGCTTTTCCAGGGGGTCTTCTGTTCTCATGAGATGGCCAAAGTATTAAAGCCTCAGCTTCAGGATCTGTCCTTCCACTGAGCACTCAGGCTTGATTTCCTTTAGAATGGATAGGGTTGTTTTCCTTACACAGCTTTATTTCTCCTTGCCCAATCCGTGTATGGCTGTAGCAGTGTTGGACTGCTTGGCTGTAATAATAGACTGGATGAGGCCTTAACAATATGGAGGCACTAATGGTGGGTGGTTCCTCAGATCAGTTGAGGGTCGCCAGTTCAGTCTGTTATAGAAGATTGTACTTGCCCTGAAAGGCCAAGGATAGCTGAGTCTCTGTGGTGTGGAGTAATTCCCCGCCCCCCCAGCTTTGGCTGGTGATGTAACTCCAACCCTATTTGGAGGTGGATAGTCATGTTGAAGTGATTCATGGGGTTTTACCCTCCTGTTTAAATTAGTTTAATACGTGGTATATGTGACTGCTTTTGAAAATAGTCTGGATTACTGTGATCATGATAGTATTACACCAATTATTTCACAGCTCTGCTGCCTACCTGTTTCTGGGCCCGATTCAAAGTGTTGGTTTTTGACCTGTAGTATTTTACACAACTTAGGACAGAAATAGGAAGCCTTTGGTCCTACAGATGCTTTGGCCTGCAACTCCCACAATGCCCTACCATTGGCTGTACCTCATGGGGCTGATGGGATTTGTCACTTGAAATGTCTGGATGGGAAAAGACTCTCTACCCCTGCCTTTAGAGCTTCAGTACCTTATGGAAAACAAATTTCGATACTTAACTTTTCCATACTGTAATGTAAGCTACTGACATCCCTTTACAAATGCCCCCTCATTCTGAAACTTGAGGGATGGCAAGAAGAGAAGGGCTTTTTTGCTTCTACCCCACTCCCCAGCTCCAGAATGTTTGCCTGGGTTGTCTGATATCTCCATTGCCATCTCTTTGTTTTGGACAAAACATTCAGTTGGGCATTTAGGTTCACTTGTCATATTCATTATTGAATATGTCTCAGTCTGCAGTTTTCATCCTGCTTCTGGGGTTTGTACTTTTGTACATATGGTTGTTTTTTGTTTTGGACTCGTATTTTTATGCTTTGTTGTTATCTGTCTGTTTTTGTGTTGTGTTAATGTTTAATCTCTTTGTGTTTATTTTGCCTTTATTATTTTAATTGATTTACAACATGTAGAAATTATTGTAAAGCAAAGAAGGAAGTATTTCCTAGAGATCACCTGATACATGGTTTTGTACAAGAAATGTTTTTTTGAAAAAGAAAAGTTTGTCATTTTCAACTGGCGCAGTGAGAGACACAAATGGATTCTTTGCTGATACATTGTCACTCTAGTGACAAATCCTTATTTTATTTTTAAAACAATTCTTGTTTCCTACAGATAGTGAGAAAGGTACAAATGTGGGAGACTGTGCAGTATTGTGTCAGGTCTAAAATGCTTGTGTGTAATTGAGTGACTATAGCTGGTTTGTGTGTATGTGTGTGTGTGTGTGTGTTAAACCAGGCTACATAAGGAAAGAAGCTAGAAGACAGAGAGACAGGAAGGAAACTTTGTAGTTCTTATTTTGAATGTTTGGTTTAAATTTGAATCTTCATTCTGAAAAGTGAAAATAGCTGCCATTGGAACCACCCAGCTGATGAAGATCCATGTTAGGTTCAGAAGTTAGCTTATTTTGGTGATTTATTTTTTAGTGGTCTAATAAAGCTGTCACCTGCTCTTGCCTTTGAACTGCCATTGGGTTAATTTATTTGAAATATTTTACCCTGCCTTTCTCCTGAAAAGGACCCAAGGTGACTTCATTGTTATTGCAAACATTCATGATGCTTAGCTTAAAATGTGCAAAGCTGTATTTAAATGTCTTTAAAATAACAGCAGTGGTAGTCTTGCAAAAAAGGCTACTTATTTTGCATTAATTAAGCCCTTAATATCGCAAAGAATGTCATTGTACCTGATTAGGTATTTTAAAACTTGAGCTTTCTCTGCACAGACAACAAAGAGTAGCTGATATAATGGGGAATATGATCTTTTCCCATGAAATGAACTCATAAATGTAAAAGCATCCATTATGATATTTTTAGCCTTTTGCTTTAATATGCTAAATGTCTCAGCTCTTTGTTTACAAGAGCAGTTGCTGCCAGTTATATTTCTTGGAAGATGAGTAAAGGAGCAGCTTGACAGACAACGGTATCTCCACAAAGACTCCCAGGTCTGCATGATTCTGTATAGATTTGAAGTACTGTAAAAGCAAACAAACCCTGAGCAATGAATGGGGGGAAAAGTTTGCATCATTTTGTGAAATTTCCATGATTTTATCAAACTCATATCAATGGCCTGATGGGAAACATACCTTTTAAGGCAAATTATTTCAATCAAGGTTACGTTGTTCCATTGTTGTATAGTATTGCTGAATAGATTTCTTTCACCTAGGCCCCTTTTTTACTGGCAGAGACATAAAGGTGAGTCATAAGTGAGTAGAATCATAAGTCCAAACAGCTAATATTTGTCATTGGCTCTTAAAATGACTCAGATTTGTATGGAGGAAAGGGGAAAATCTTTTACTGTGAGTTGTTTTGGCTTCTCCATGTGCACAGTGAGGGTGAGTGGCAATTTTAAAAGCTGATCCAACAATCATTCCTTTGTGGAAAAAGTATTTTTAACATTGACATTGTTTAAACCCAGGATAAATGCTTTGTGAATTTGTGTATCTACTGTGGCCTAAAATGGAGATAAACCTTTTTTAAAAATCACAGTACATTTTAAAGTAGCTTACTAGTGTCAGGGTTTTTGTATTATTGACAACAACTGTTGTTAATAAATGCAATTGCTGTAGACAGTATTCTTTATTTTTAATTTTCCTCAGATCTCACGATCTAAATTCACATCCACATCCCAGTCTGTAGTCCTAGAAAACGTATGTATTTGTTAACCATTAAGGTACTATGGATTTCTATGTTTTTCTTTAAAATACATAGAAGTAGAGTGTTGTGCTCCCCAGTCATAGACTCCTATGACAATCAAATACTGTACTTTGTCCAGAAACCCGGCTACTACAACTAAGAAGGAAAGAGAAAAGGAAAAAGGCATGTTATGTTGTGACATGGGAGGGAGAATAGTTTGCAACTCAGCTACCCAGCAGACCAAATCAAAAAGAGTAAACCATGTACAAAAAGGATTCCCAAGGTGCCATCTTGGGTAAAGCAGGAGGAAATATGGAAAATCTTTCTCATTTCACAAGCGAGCACACTTTTTTGCTCAAACTCCTGTTGTTCTGTAGTTGCCTTTGTTTCTGCATAGATCAACTGTAGCCATGAATAGCAAGGGAAGAGAACAACCCAGGAATTGCAACTTTTCCTCCAGGTGAGAAATTATCCTAGTTGGGAAGGTGGTCTAGGTCAGTGGTTCTTAACCTGGGCGATAATGCCCCCCAGGGGGCGATTTCATTTTTCAGGGGGGCGGTAGAATGAAAAGGGGCGTCGTGGGGGCGCTGGAGCAGAAGGGGGGCGGTAGGGGGCGCTGGAGCAAGCCAAACCTGTGAAGATGGCTGCAGCCTTTTTACAATGTGCATGAATATATATTTTCCTCCTATCTTAATTTAGTTTCAGAGTTTTCGTCTTGAAATTTTTAGTTCCTGCATTTTATGCCCTTTTTATATTTCTTTTTGAGTCTTAAAATTCGCTTGCAACTAAATCATTAAATGTTACTTTTTGGGGGCATTTCATTTTCTTGGAATTGAATTTTGTTTTCAGGGGTCATTGGATTTAAGTGTCTTAAATAAATAAACAAACAAACAAAAAAATAAATAAATAAGATATAATAAGAAATAAGAGGGGGGCGATGATAACTTCCTCAATGGCTCAAGGGGGCGTTTCTTTCAAAAAGATTAAGAACCACTGGTCTAGGTGGATTTAGCTTTAGCTTTCACAGAGCAAGTGAGCAGACAAACTTGGAGTAGTGACACAAATCGTGAAGTTTTGATTTTCCCACATCACACTCACTGTTCTACTTATAATTATTTTTAATAATCTGCTGTGATTGCTCAATCCTACTTCCATTCTTGCAGTATTGTGGATTAGGAAGGAAAATTGTTCCTGGTGGCTCTTTGAGTGAGATATTCTGAGCACAAATGTTGCAAAAATAAGCTGTAAAGTCTGGTAGGCATCTGAAAAGGTCTTGGGCTGGGGAGAATAGAAGTGTTGGAAGGAAAAAGAAGGTATAGTGCTGCCAAGAGGTACTAGATGCTTGAGAGCTCAGAGCGGTCTCTCTTATCCTATACACAAACTTAAAATTGAAAAGCTTTGTAATGGCTTTGAATTATCTTTTTACTATATGTCTGCTTCATGTATTTTGCTTCATAGGCTCACAAGTCAGTGAACTTCGTTTCAACTCTACTTCAAATCACAATGTCAGAGCAACTGGATTTGCCAGTGAGACAGGCAGGCAAGTGTTGATTTTATTTCCTTTTCAATGCTATTAAAATTCTATCATTAAACTATTTCTGGGTAAGTGAAAGTATATAATGAATTTTTTTAAAGTCTCATATTAAGAGAAACAGAAATTTCAAGTTGTGATGAAAGAGAATCCTTTCCCTAATTTCCTGTCCAGGGTGATAAAATTAATATAACTTATTTTTGTACACAGAACAGCATTGCTTTTCTGTATGGTTATGATTACATGATAATCATTTATTAACATTCCATGGAAGAGTTTATCTCTTTTTTCTTTGCAATTCTGTTTTCTGAAAAAACATATTATGGCAGTGGAAGTAGACTTCACTCTACAAATGGTTCTTTTGAAATAATACAGAATTTTCAAGTTATTATATTTTGGAAATATTCATTACTTAAATGTTTTGTTGCCTTGTTATGTACATGTTACTGCATACAGAGATTTACACTTTGTCAGTGGAAGTATACAGAGAAAATACTATTCTGTAGTTTCTTTCCTGTATAAACTGGGCTAAAGTAATTTCAATGAAGTTCTAAAAGCTTTGTTGAAACAGGCTGCTATCCATCTTGTGTATGATAATTGTTGCATATATTGGAACATTAAAGTCTAAGTATTTACAGTATTACAGTCAGTTTCTACTTACTGAAATCTTGAAATGAATGAATCTGTGACCTTTGTTTTATTAAGTAGTGCTGACATTTAAGTTCCCTTCACTAAGCTATTTCATGCAAATGAAAAAGCTTAGTAGTTCCAAGATATGTATAATGTTGGGTGTATGTATTCCTCAGGGAAAATATATCATTGCTCCAAGGAATGTGGTGTTTGGTTGTGTGTTTGTTTGATTTTTGGATGCCCAACTCCTAAAATTCCCAAAGCAGAATTCTGAGAATTCCAGATCATAGAGCTAAACCTACAGATACCTACATCTAACTCACCTGGAGAAGGGCCTTGTCTTGGAGGCTACATGGCTTAGGTCTGGCCTACTTCCTGTTGTTAATAAACCAAAAGAGAAGCTGTCACAGTGCTTCCTGGACACTGTAGTTCTTAAAGAGACACCCTCTTATAGAGGTTAAAGGGCTACAACTCCCAGGAAGCACCATGGCAATTTCCTTTTTCGGATATAACAATAGAAACTAGGCCAGAGATGGCCCATGCAACATCTGAGAAATGCCCTGGTCCACATGAACAAAATGTAGGAGTCTTTAGATGTGGGCCTGAGGTCTGGAACTTCCAGAATTCTGCTTTGGGGGTTCTTGGAGAATTCTTGGAGTCCAAAAAATCCAAATGGCACTTCCCTCATAGGGGGCTCTGTGTCCAAATGCACTGTGGTGGCAGTCATAGCAGCAAGTAATATTATGGATTATGGGATAATACGTTTTAATAGCTGTATCCTACACGTCTTCCAAAGAGCTCAGGTATACATAGGATCAGTCCTCTGACTTTTCTGTGAGGTAGAGTAGTCTTGAGTTACACTCCATGAGTTTCATGCCTGAAGTGGGAGTTAGTACCATTTTTGTCTCTCTGCTGAAATGAAAACTGATATTTTGAGAATTCACATAATTTTTTGAAAATGCATGCTTTAAAAAAGTACTCTAATTAATGGGACTCTGTAGTTCGTGTTGCATTTGCCATAGAAATCATAGACTGGAAGAAGAAACAGAAGCTGTTCATGTATACTTTGGGTAACAAACTAGTCAGTATGTAACTTGAACTCTGTGGATCTAATTCGTACTGCTGCAAAAATGCCACCTACTACATTGGTTTGGGCTATACTTACACTGTGTTCTCTCCTGGTAGGTGTTATCTACTTGAAAAATATGATAACCCAGTATTGGCCTGACCGGGAAACTAATCCAGGAGACATCCCACCTTACTCAATACCAGAAGAAGACAGACATTGTATTCGTGAAAATATTGTAGAAGCTATTATTCATTCTCCTGAGTTGATCAGGTATACTCTAAGTCAGAGTCACAGTGTCGATTCTTTTCAAATTCATTCCCCATTTTGTTGTCACTTCCATGAAGCAATAAAGCGGGATTGTTCTATGGGTATCTAAATTATTATAGAGAAAGATATGGTCATTACATACTTGGAATTATTTATGAGAAGATGTTAGCTGTATCATTCAGAAGAAATACATATACGTAAACCAACTTCTTTGTGTTTACAAGATTTCAAATTGTATTTACTGCTACTTCACCTGCTTGTTTTAGTTAACTGTTGCAGATTATGAAACACTCTTGCCAAAGCTCTTAAAATGATAAAACTGTTTGTATAACCATTTGTGCCTTTTGTTCCAGAGTTCAGCTTACTACTTGCATTCACCACATTATTAAGCATGATTATCCCAATCGTTGGACTGCAGTTGTAGATAAAATTGGATTTTATCTTCAGTCTGATAATAGTGCTTGTTGGCTTGGAATACTTCTCTGTCTTTATCAACTTGTGAAGAACTATGAGTAAGTTCCTGTTTGTTGTAGAGTAATCTAGGACTGCCGTCATAGAGATGTTTAGTATATGATTTACTTATAGTTTATGCAGCTACTTCTTTAAGAATTTAAGAGTTGTCAGGCTGTACTGATTGTAGAAGGGCCCTAATATTGGGCTCATATCATAATAGCAACTTCTGAGATCTGTTAGATTTGTGAGTACAAGAAAGAGAACCTTCTTCTGTGACAGACGTATCTGTATGAAGTACTGTTCCAGAGAAGATATGCCTGCATTCCTTCCTTACTACCTTCAAATGGACATTACAGACTGAGATACTAGTACAATTCACTTTTATTCCAAGTTGGCCCATGTTTCTACTTTTAGAAAATGAATTATAACATCATAAAATTGTTTTAATATAGTGCTGTTATTTTTATTACTATTGTTGTATTAAATTGGTATTATAATGCCACTAGTGGAGTTTATAAATATACTTATTTCTTGCTTGTACAGTGGTGCCTCGCTTAATGAGCGCACCGTTTAACGACGAATCCACATAGCGATGTCGCTTTTGCGATTGCAGAAGCGATCGCATTGCAACATTTAGATAGGCAAAAACTCGTATTGCGATGATCGGTAAGCATTTCGCTTACCGATCTTCACATTGCGATGTTTTTACAACAGCTGATCGGCGGTTCAAAAATGGCCGCGAGTACCCAAAATAGCCACCACAAGTGTTTTTGCGCCCTGCCCTTGCTTACCGAGGGCGCGAAAATGGCGGCGCTATGGAGGAACTTTGCTGAACGGTGAGTTTGGGCCCCATAGGAATACATTAAACTAAGTTTAATGCGTTCCTATGGGGTTTTTCAATCCGTTTAGCAATGTTTTTACATAGCGACGATTAATCTGGAACGGATTAACGTCACTATGTGGGGCACCACTGTAAACCATATTGAGAGTTTTTCTCTTTAAAGATGGCATAACATATTTTAAATTAATAAACTGAGCCTGTGACAGTGTAAAGACTGCCTCATCAAGATGCTTCTGCTAGCTACATTTTCAAAAGTATATTGGAATAAAAAGCATAATAGGTGCTACCATTTGGTCCCCCACAATCTCTGTGTTGTCCTTTACAATTTTCTTAAATTTTGTACACTATAATCGCAATTGACCAGAAATATCTAAATCTGTACTCGAGAAGTTGTATGAGGTTGTTTGCATAGTTCAGTTTGCCTGGGACCCAAAAATGCATTAAAGCAGGGGTCCCCAACCTTTTTCACCCTGCGGACCAGCTTGGGAAGGCACCCCTGCGCTCGTGTGCATGCACGAATGAGTGCGCTCTCATGCGCAAATGGCGGCATGACGCTTGTACAGGTGTGCTTGCACTTCTGCGCATTCGCAAACAGTAGTGCAGCACTCATGCGGGAATGCGTGCTCCTGCACATGTGCAAATGGTGGCACAGCACTCGTGCGCATGTGGAAACTACTGTGCAGCGCTCACACGGGCACACGCAGGCGCAAACAGGCTGTACAGGGGGCAGGAAGTCTGTCTTCACGGCCCGGTCTGGATCAGGCCACGGTCCGGCACCAGGCTGCGGACTGGGCGTTGGGGACCTCTGTATTGATTGATTGATTGATTGATTGCTGCTCTAGCAAACTTGCTTTGAAGCCTGATACAAGTTTCAATGTGCCTCTTGAAGAAAAGGTTGGGTGCAAAATACAGTGTTGCCTTGCACAACGGGTGCCTCACACAACGATGAATTCACACAACGATGGCTTTTTCTGATAAATTTGCCGCCTCACACAACGATGTTTCCTATGGGGGATTTTCACACAACGATGTCTCTTTTCCCTCAGTTAAAAGTGCCTTAAACTGTTTGAAACCTGTTTTAAATGCTTGTAATCGTTAGCCCACCTCCTGAAACCTATGCAAACTTAATTTGGTGTTGTTCTGAGTCGTTAATTTTTGGTGATTTTTTGTTTTCTCCATTGAAAGCCATTGAATGGTCTGTCTAATGGCTTTCAATGGAGAAAACAAAAAATCACCAAAAATTAACGACGGCTCAGAACAACACCAAATTAAGTTTGCATACGTTTCACAAGCTGGACTATCGATGCCAAGCATTTAAAACAGGTTTCAAACAGTTTAAGGCACTTTTAAATGAGGGAAAAGAGACATTAGAATGGCATTCAAATGCATTGAGTCGGCTTCAGTACATTTGAATGGAGGAAACATTGTTTCACTCAACGATGTTTCCTATGGGGATTTTCGCTCAAGGACGGCAATCCGTTCCAATTGGAACGGATTAACCGGTTTTCAATGCATTCCTATGGGAAATGGTGTTTCACAGAACGATGTTTCACACAACGTTGATTTTTTTGGAACCAATTAACATCGTTGTGTGAGGCACCACTGTATGCTTGAAAATATAACATGCTTACATGCAGTTGCTCACGGTTTTAGATCAAGGGTCAGTTGTCAAGAGGACATCTTGAAGTGAGCAGGATTTTGGAGTCCTTGAAAATCCCTGAACTCACCTCCCTACTTATCGCCCTTGATTTGACTTCCTGATTGTAATTCTGTCTGACATTTTCAAAGTCCTTCTTTCCCTTCCCTGAATGCTAGTGCATAGTGCAGGACCTGGAGGAGTGCCCTATTTTCTTCCCAACCCCTCTCAATATTTTTTAAAAGACTGCTTATGCTAGGATTTGGTAAGAGTATACACTTTGGGCAGTGTATATCTTTGTAGTAGTAGAGAGGTAGAGGTTTACTTTCTGGTATAATACAGATTTGACAATAAAAAGTACTTTTAAGCCTGTGGCCAAAGCAGCATAGAAATGTGGTGTCTGGTTTGGTGTTTTTTATTTGAATATGTGTGTGTGTGTGTGTGTGTGTGTGTTTTATTTGAATGTGTGTGTGTGTGTGTGTGTGTGTGTGTGTGTGTGAGGTCTCTTTATTTTAAACCATTGTATCCATATTTGTTCTAAATCCAGTTCTTATCCTTCTTTAAAGATATAAGAAACCAGAAGAACGGACTCCTTTGATAGCAGCAATGCAGCACTTCTTGCCTGTTCTGAAGGATCGGTTTATCCAGCTCCTTTCTGATCCCTCTGATCAGTCTGTTCTTATTCAGAAACAGATCTTCAAAATTTTCTATGCTCTTGTTCAGGTAAGAGCTGTTTATCATCTTCTGAGCAATACTCTTTAAAATCATGTGGGCACTTTAGGAAAGAGCTTTCTATCAATATTTAGCTGAGGGCTTAGATAATGTAGTTAAGTTATTAGAATCCAAAGTGAATTTTGTGGACTTTACCATTTATTTTTGCATCCCATCTATGCAATACAAATACTTTCCAAGCATAGTACAGGTAACATGGTCTACTGAATTAAACCCACAACAATAGTATGGGTTAAAATGAAACACTGTCCAGGATGTTGTTGCCAGTTTATGTTTGCGTAAGAAAATCTCTTGGATGTCCTGGTAGCAAATTACTGCTCCTTAACAAGGTGATGGTTGCATTTCTGAATACTTACCTTGGAACACAACCAGCACCTTATTGATGGATGGCAATTTGTGGTCAAGACTTAGTATAATTAGTATAAATTGCCAACATAGTTATAGTCAACATGGTATTTGCTGCAGTTGTTTGAATCTGCTATCTAGTATAGGCAAGACCTGAACCAAGACTTAATCTCTAGTAGATTGGTCTGTTTTCTTATAAACTATTATATGCGCAGCCTTCTTAAATAGCCTAACAGGAAAAATACATTTGTCAGGTAGTTACCAAACATGTAGAAGCATGTGCATATCACAAATACCATATTGCCATAATTTCTTTGAAGGAAAAGGTGGGAATATGACATTGTTTGACATGGAACAAACCCGTTTTGTACCAAGAGGAAGCTACAAGAAAACACAGATGTTGCCTTTAGCAATAAAGAGTCTTACAGCACCTTTAGGTTTTATTTGTCATGAATGGTCATAGACATAGCCCACTTCTTAAAAACAAATGGAGGACAATATACAGTGTTCCCATGCATATGAAGAAGTGGACTACAATATATTGATGAACATTCATGACAAATAAAACTTGTTAGTTCTTGCTTTCAGTGCAACAAACTAAACAGCAGTGTATTTAGAAAAAAAGTTGTTGCCTTTCGTTCCAAAAAGGTGGGTGCACATTTTAAGTGATACTAAGTGGAGAAGTAAAATGAGAGAGATGTGTGGGAGAGAATTACATTGTTTAATTGCACCTTCTGGAAGCATGCTTATTTTTCTCAGAGCAGTTCTCACTTGTAAAGAGAGGTGTGACTGTTTTAAATGGTGCTGTAGCAAAACCCAGTGAAGTCTGAGCCTTTCCTTTACATGTGTGTCCCTTCTTTCTATGGACTTCAACCATAGAATATTTTGCACAGTCTCTCCTGTACCAACAACATGCCCTAGTACATTTCCATATGTGAAGGGATTGCCTATGAAAAATTTGAGAAGACACTGAGATGTATGTGCAAACCTTTTGGTTTAAAAATCTTTGTTTAATTTTTACCATTACTTGTTTTTTTATTTTTGATTGATCTTTTTTATTTTTAATAGTATACATTACCCCTTGAACTGATCAATCAACAAAATCTAGCAGAATGGATAGAAATTCTGAAGGCAGTGGTGGACCGAGATGTACCAGCAGTAAGTCTTATTACATAATTGTACTGTATTTCACTTTTGTACATAAAACAGTTGACTTCTACGAACATGCAGATAAGTTGTATGTGTAACTAATTTTCTTGGGATGACAGCCTGCTGCTTTTAAAATTAAATGCTGGCTGTGATTAATCTGAGGATGTTGCAGTGCTAGAACTGAAAACGGCAGTCTACGTTTTTTGTAGTTCTCTTGCTTTCATATAAATAGCTCATTTGGATCATGCTCCTTATTTGAACATACATGAATCAGATGTTACTTAGAACTCTCTTTCTTTTGCCCATTAATTTTTCACAGTGAAGTTTTGTTTTTGTCAGGAATATAGTCATATTTTCATATGAAATCGTTGCACAGTAGAAATGAATATCTTCATTCCTCTGACAACAGTAGTTTTTGATATCTCAAATATTAGGTTAAGCATTTATTATTAATCTTCTGTTGTTCTTAAAGGAAACCCTGCAGGTTGATGAAGATGATAGACCTGAATTACCATGGTGGAAATGTAAGAAGTGGGCATTACATATCTTGGCTAGACTCTTTGAAAGGTAATGGCTTTCCTGAAGACTTTAAAAAAAAGATAAATCTTACTTTTGTTATGACATGCATAACATATTGCAGCATTATCTTGGATTTTTCCACTATTAATAATAGGTATGGAAGCCCTGGTAATGTTTCCAAGGAATACAACGAATTTGCTGAAGTTTTCTTAAAGGCGTTTGCTGTTGGTGTGCAGCAGGTGGGAAATTTTCCATTACATCCCATGCTTGATTGGAAAAGAGATGTGGGTTATAAATCTTTCTTCCTTTCTCCAAAGATTAAATAGAATTAAAAACTTAATAAGAAAATAGCTGAAATCCTGTTGCTTTATTGCATGTGTGGAAGGTAAGCAGAGTACCATCCAGTCACTTCTAGTTGGTAATTACCCCCTCTACTTTCTAGTTAGCAAAGTTTGGGAGAAATGCTGGCATGGCCTTGTAATGATGATGCTGGAGCTACTGAATGAAGTTTTACTTGCTTTAGGTCAGATGTGAAGCATTCCAAGCAGTACTACACTGTTCCACCTCCCATTGTTCTTCTCTATTTCTATATAGCACTTTAACATAGATGGATGGATATCTTATAGCTCACCGACTAGCAATAACTCTCCAGAGTTCTAAAGAGGGCTTTCTTCCTGGGCCAGTCTGGAAATGCCAGGGATTGAACTGAGAATCTTTTGCAGGCAGCATATGTGCTCAATTACTGAGTCATAGAATTTCTCCATAGAAAACATAGTTTGTGTGAACATAGTCAAGGGTGCTCTAACAGAAGAGCTCCATCACTCTTACTATGTGGAAAACAGGATGAGTGTTCATCATGGCTAGAAGGGTGGGATAAAAATCCAATAATAAATAAAATAAAATAAAACATACTTTTCATGATACCTTTCTTTGCTATTTAGAAATTTTCTACGTTTTTGCTTTATTGCTACAGTTCTAAATTGGCTGTATGTCGTTTATATGCAGCCTAGAGGTCTTTTCTGGCAGTTATTGGCAGTGTGCTTAAATCTTTACAAACAATTAAACAAAGATGATTTCTTAGGTGTTGCTGAAGGTATTATATCAATATAAGGAAAAGCAGTACATGGCTCCAAGAGTTCTGCAGCAGACATTGAACTACATCAATCAGGGGGTATCCCATGCAGTCACTTGGAAGAATCTGAAACCCCATATACAAGTGAGTTCTTTTTTTCCTTCTGAATGGTCCGTAGTTAAATGATACTGTATCTTATTTGTTCTTTCTCCAGCTGTACTAGAGCATATTTTTAATGTTTTGAGAACCCAAATCTTTTTGGATTTGCAAAGCATAAATTAGAAACTGTGCAAATGGTCTATGAAGTCTTGCTGGTTCTCTCACTCCCGCTACAGCATGCTTGAGCTGTGCTATCAGATGCATGACTGGATGCACACCTGGGTAATGTGACATGCACAAGAAACTGAAAAATACTGGCACATTTGCCCTAATGTGCACAGATTTTCATAACAGGATTTTGACCAAGTTATTCATAATATTGATAGTATTGAGAAAACTAATGAGTAAATATAGTAGTAATAGTAGTAGCAGCGGCACTACTTTGCACTGCTGCTGCTATTATTACTGATACAACTCTAGAGTAAATGAAGTAGCAGTAGTTAAGGGAAGTTCCGTACTGCAGAGGAAATATTTAACATTAGAGTTTTATTTTGGTTCTGTGTGTACATGTGACTCTTAGAAAGTTGGCTTCTCATGTTCTTTCACAGTAGTGAACTGGAGCTCTTTTAATTATTCTCTGTGGATTTTTGTACTAAACAGATATTCAGCAATGTGAAACTATCAGTTTTAGGTTGCATTATGTTTAATTGTCACTGATCCTCTCCCCCTTGAAATATTTAAACTTTTTTATATTGTAAGCTACCCTGAAAATATTTTATTTTAGGGAATTGTAGAAACACTATAATATATAAATAAAATGCCTTATTGTTTACAGGGAATTATCCAAGATGTTATTTTCCCATTGATGTGCTACACAGATGCTGATGAAGAGCTGTGGCAGGAAGATCCTTATGAATATATACGTATGAAGTTTGGTACGTATTTCAAAATTATATTTACAGAAGATTTTCTTAGCTAAGCAGAATGGTGAGACAGTGTTGGGCATGGTGGAAATAGTTAATCCCCATTTCTCCTGTACATACAGTGACACAGAGATTTTAGCTAAAACTTTGCTACAGCATCTTGTACAAGACAAGCAGAGCGTACTTGGACATGTGTTATTGTGTATTTCTAAAAATCAAGGAAATGATCCCTTATCTGTCCCTCTGTCTCTCAGTCCCTTGACCCCTTCAGAGCAAAAAGGTTGCATGCAAAGAGCAGATTGCGCTCCCTTTCCCTTTTGTCTTTGATGTAACTCCTTGTATGTCATTTATGCTACCTGACAAGGGCAATAGGGCTGAGCCTTTTGTACTGGAAGTGTATAAAGAGCACATATTAAGGCTCCTGGAGCTCAGTCCTATTTATATTTATCCAAACAAATTTCACTGTGTTTGGTGGAGCACATTGCAAGGAAATGTGCATGGGATGGCAGGCTGGGTTTGCTAAAATACCCTGGGGTCAATTTCCTTTTTCTCAGGTGATGTAAAAAATCATACTTTCTGTGGACTTATTTTCTTGTGGAAAATTTTTATAAAATTAATATTAACCCTGCAGAGGTCACAGGAATTTGAGTGGCATTCAGTGACAATGAGAGGAAGAATTGTTGAGTGCCTCAAAAGTCTTTTGACATTTCAGTCAGCAAGGCTTGTTGTATTGTATTCTGGTGGCATTTGTTCTGTTCTTTCCTGATTTGTTAAAGGAGAATGCTTAATTATTAAGAAAAATTAATAAATGTCAAAGTTATAGTTCTTCAAAGCATGAGCATTTTAGGCATTTTGCTGTAACAACATTTGGATAGGTCTAAATTCAAATCTGTAACATATTTTAAAACTTTATGTGGGTTCAGAGTACAAATTCCAAGAGGGTTGAAGTGCTTCTGATTTGTGAATTTGGTTCTTGTTTTACATTAGTCACTATATGTTTCAGAAGACAAAACATTTAGATTGTTATGTTTTTCATAGATGTATTTGAAGACTTCATTTCCCCCACAACAGCTGCACAAACATTGTTGTTTACAGCATGTGGTAAAAGGAAAGAGGTATGATTTTAAGAATTATTTTTAATCTTAAAACAATAGCAGTTCTTCCTAGTCTTTTGTGTAGATCTTCATGTAATTTACTTGGAGAAATGTTGCTATTGAGCAACTAAATTATTGAATAAAAGCCTGATTTCAGTCTTTGGAGGAATCTTGGCAATAGCTACCTTTGGTGTACTTCTTGACAGCTATGGCCATCTTGTATGCACCATCTTACTAGTGTTTATGTTGGTGATGCCTATCAGGCAGAATTCACATTCAGTACATTTGCCCAGGACACAAGCTAAAACTGTTGTTGCACAAATTAGAGATAGTGGAAGGGTGATTCAGATAATAGGTCTGTGAACACTGCTTAGTGCTTCTAGGCAAGCTAGCTTCCCTATTGTAGCCCAGGCATGTCTTTGATATCTGCCACCATGCACCTCAGTTAGATCATTTCCACTCATGGTGACAGTTTACTGACAGTAGTGGGCCCAACCTGGGTCTGGCATTTGTTCCAGCATAACATATATGGGCACCAGGAATAATGAGTTCAGATATGTATTCAATATTTGTATAACATTGAAAAAACAGGTCACCTCACATAAGTGCTTCTGGTAGGTGTCTGTTGAGAAGAACAAGCAGCTTCGTACCTATGTCAGTGTACTCTGTGCCCCTCAATATGTATGTGAAAGATTTGATGTTAGGTACCTCAGATGCTCTTTTGCTAGTTGTTGGGTGAAAATCATCTAATATATTTATTAACTATACTACGGTGCTTCTGACACGAACAAAGAAAGAATAGGAAAAATGGAAACATATCTGAGGATTGTGCATTTGCATACTCAATAATTTGTTAATGTATTATATATGTTATTGCCTTGGATAAATTGAAGGGCAATAAGTGGTTCTAATTATATTTAATGTAAAGGCCGTGTCTGTATTATAGAGTATTATATTATTATAGAGCAGTATTTATACATTAAAATTTGGTGGAGGGGAATAAATAAGCAACAACATAATAGATATTAGGAGACTTTCTAATTGATTGAAATTTTATAATTGCAATAATTTAATCAACATTATATTTTTAAAAAAATCTTGCACTAGGTTCTGCAGAAGACTATGGGCTTTTGCTATCAGATTCTCACGGAACCAAATGCTGATCCTCGTAAAAAAGATGGAGCTTTGCATATGATTGGGTCTCTGGCTGAAATACTTCTGAAAGTGAGTGCTCACTCTGGCTTTTTTTGAAAAGCCTTACTTAAACTTTAACAATGTTTGTTTCATCTACTTAAGTAATTATAGCTGGACTGACTCACACAGTAACATCAGATTCTCATTACCTGAATTGATAAAGTCTTATTTTAGTTCCAGTCTAATCAGCCATGGGCTGAATGTTGGCATGTTTCCTCTGTATAGAGGTCACTAGCTAGCACAGATAACTCAGGGAGAAATGGCTTATAGTCTCTCACTTATTACTGAGCAGGAAGTACTGATGGACCTGTGATACCTTCCCTTATCTGAAGGCCCTCCATGAACAGAAACATAATGCTGTATCTTGCCCAAGTCTTCTTACATGTGCAGAACATTTGGAGAAAAGATCTGTCCTTCACCTTGCACAGCAAGGGGAGAAACGATTAGGTACTGTTACTTTTTCCAGTAGTTTTTTCCAAAAAATGAGAAGTTTCCAGTCCCTTTTGAAATAAGAGGTAGAAAGGGTTGTTGATACCTACAATTAATATCTGACTACAGAACCAACCAACCGAGTCAGTGTAGTGGTTAGGGTTTTGGACTATACAGTACCTCGAGATACCTTGGTTCAAAACCCCACTCAGCCATGACACTCATTGGGTGGCCTTAGGCCTCTCACAGCCTGACCAGCTTCACACACCATCATGAGGATAGAGTTGGGGAAGGAGCCACTTATATTACTAGTAATGTAAGATGTTCCATTCATTCCATGGGTTCTAGATGGGACTAAGAACTGTTCTCAAGAAATTATGTAAATCTTAGAACTCATCTCATTTCTAAGAAGGTAACAATTTTGTGTTAAATAACTTCTGCGTGTTTTATTTGATTATTGTTGTTGTGTACAAGAGTTTACTTGTTGATTATAGCATATTCCTATTTAAAACAATGATCTGTATAGGTGAATTGGCAATCCTGCTTAATAGGATATAGAAACGGAGGAATTATTTTCTGACAATATAGTTGTATTTCTGCATGTAAAAGAAAAAGAGTGATAATACGCCATTGTCAATATTCCAACAGAAAAAGGTATACAAAGATCAGATGGAGTACATGCTACAGAATCATGTGTTTCCTCTCTTCAGCAGTGAATTAGGTTACATGAGAGCACGGGTAAGTGCAAAGCTGAGCCTGACCTTTTCTCTGTTCCTTTCCTTGTGCTGTCTTCTTGGCTAAGATGTCTAGTCAGTGGCAGGGCTGATTTCATAGAACTTTTTTATATCAGTGTGAAGTAGTTAAAAGTTCATGATGTCTGTGGTGCTGGTTGATGGTGTGCTTAATGAAGTAAAGTAAAGCTCTGAGTGAAGTAAAGATCCATGGAAGCCTTTTTTCCAAGGGACAAGGTTAATTGTGACTATATTCTGGATTTACTATACCCAATATGCGGGAATACTGTTTAATAGCTTTTCCTTTATGTTTTCCTAATTTTCTCTTATTTGCCTAATTAATTTCTTCATATTGACAACCTTTTTTGTAGTAAGGTGTACAAAAAGTTGTATACATAAAGTAAACGTGAGTTTACATTTGGTAATCTGAAAGAAATGGATGAATTATTTTCCTGTTTCTTTTCTGGGGCCACAAAAAGGAAGTTTTAAGTTTCAGGCAGATGAATGTAATCATCTTAACCTTTCTTGTGCTCCTTAAACGTGAAGCACCAGTAGCTAAAGAAGTACAGTGGTGCCCCGCATAGCGAGGTTAATCCGTTCCGGATTAACCCTCGCTATGTGGAATCGTCGCTAAACGGGTAGGGAAAATGTATTGAAACGCATTAAACTTAGTTTAATGCGTTCCAATACCTTGCTTACTTACCCGTTCAGTGAGGATTCCCCTTGCTGGCAGCCATTTTAGCGCCCTCGCTAAGCGAGGGCAGCCGCCGAACAGCTGTTCGGCGGCTCCAAAATGGCCGCCGCAATACCCAATCTTCGCAATGTGGGTTTTCCCCATTGCGAAGATCGGGTATGTTTCTGTATAGCGATCCCGAAAAAGGGATCGCTATACGGAAACATCACTATACGGTGCACTCGCTAAGTGAGGCACCACTGTAGCTATAAAGTGAGACACTTAATACTTTGTGAAATTAGATAATCATATGTTTTCTTTTTAAAGCAGTAAGTACTTTCTTTTTTAAAAAGTTATTTATCATATTGTTCTGGGTCATATAACTGTGTCTTTCAAATGAAATGGGTTAAACTGGCTGCAGTCGTGTGTGCATAGCTTCTCATCTGTGCCTGGCACATGGTCCTTATGTGTTCTGCATTAGACTTGTGTTGCCCACACAAAACCTGTGGCCTAAGAGCAACTTGAGATCATAGTACTGGTCTAGTAATGTCAAAAGACAACCTTAACACTGGCCAGCCTCCAAACTCTCAAACAAGTGTGAGGTAAGGAAGAAGGAAAGAAAAACCTTAAAATAAAACCAAAGCATTCATATTATGTGTTCATAATTCTGCAACCTTTGTGGAGTAAGTAAAGTGTATGTGCATGTATTAATTACCTGAAATTGCTCTCCGTATTCTCTAGGCTTGTTGGGTTCTTCACTATTTCTGTGAAGTTAAGTTTAAGAGTGACCAGAACCTACAGACAGCTCTTGAGCTCACAAGAAGATGCCTAATTGATGATAGAGAAATGCCTGTCAAAGTGGAAGCTGCCATAGCACTGCAGGTCCTGATTAGTAATCAAGAAAGAGGTACTTTTTTCTATAGGCCTTTCTCTTGGTCCCATCACCCTCACAGGTGCGCTTGGTGGGGACACGGGAGAAAGCCTTCTCAGTCATTGCCCTGAGGCTCTGGAACGCTCTCCAACACAGGCTGGCCCTAGCTTTCCTCTCCTTCTGTAAGCAGACAAAGACGGACAAGCTTTCCCTTACTGATTGACTGTCTGAGAGGGGTTTTTAAATGAAGCATTGTGCCTTGTTTCTTTGAAAGTGTTGGTTTTGTTTACAATTTTTAGTGTAGTATTTGTTTGATTCTTTTTGTATACATACTGTTTTTAGCTTTTAAAAATTGTCATTTAATGATATAAGCCACCTTGGGTCCTTTTTAGGGAGAAAGGCGGATTAAAAGTATTTTAAACAAATAAAATAACTGTTGTATGCTTCTAGTTTCCAGTTTGGTGTGTGGAGGCATTTAGCACTCAATTAACTTTCGTCACCATCCTGAAAAAAAGCTAGGGATCATTTGACCTACATTGTTGTCTTAAGCCTGGTGCCCTCAGTCTCAATCCCCATTTCATCCCTGCCTTCCATGCAAGTTTATAACTAGTGAAAAAGAATTGTTTCCCTTTCCTGGTTTCTTAATGTACACTGTTGACAGCGAGAACAAACCATGTTCATGTTACTGTTCTTTTATTCATTTATGTATTTATTTTGAAAAACAGTCAGTCAGTGCACGTACATGTGGATTTTCAGTTGCACAGTTAGAAAACATGTATAGCTAATTAACACAAGTTACTGTTTGAATCACTAATGGTCCTTCTCCTGGAAACATCTGTTGTTCCGGCCATACTAGAGAAAGGATAGTTTACACAAGAGTTGCAGGGGTTGTGAAAGAAGTCAAGTTTGCTTTAGTTTAGAGACCTATAACCAAATATGAACTAGTTGTTTCAAATCCTGTATGTGACACTTCAGTTTCTCAGTCCTCTGGCTTATTACCTCCATCTCTTCCCATCTCCTTCTCCAACTGGTTTTATCTGCAGCACACAGCCCATTCCATCTGTGAGATTGCTCGCTCCCTTCAAATGAAATGGATTAAACTGGCTGCAGTCATGTGTGCATAGCTTCTCATCTGTGCCTGGCACATGGTCCTTATGTGTTCTGCATTAGACTTGTGTTGCCCACACAAAACCTGTGGCCTAAGAGCAACTTGAGATCATAGTACTGGTCTAGTAATGTCAAAAGACAAGCTTAACACTGGCCTGCCTCCAAACTCTCAAACAAGCTTGCATGCTTATTAATTTGCTTGCTTGCTGCCTTTTTCCCCATTCAGGGCACCTCACAGTTATCAAAATTATACAATAATTAATACTGACATATGGTTGTTGTGGGTTTTTCGGGCTTCTTGGCTGTGTTCTGAAGGTGGTTTTTCCTAACGTTTCACCAGTCTCTGTGGCCGGCATCTTCAGAGGACAGCAAACTGTGTATTGTATTTGCCTTCGCGAATACAATACTGACATATGTTTGGTTTTTTTAATATAGTGTCTATCACATTTTAAAACAATCAAACGTGTATTAATATTAAATCCAAGATTAAAACAAATTTTAAAACTTTTAAAAATCTCTCAAATTTTAAAACATTTAAAAACCTCTTTAATAAATATTGCATTCCTGAGACTGCTACTGTTTAAAAGCCTGCCTGAAAAGAAAGAAGGGGGCAAGGTGTTATCCCTGTTGCAAAGCCCTGCCTGGTTAGTTGCTTTCTGTTGGCTTCTATATTCCCTTAATCTACTGTTACCTTTGCTTGCCCTTTTCTTGGGTTTCTAGTTCTGTCAAGCTGCTGTGTGCTCTTTCTTCTTTGTCTTCAAACTCTGGACTATTGTGCATGATGCTTCTTGTCTCAAATCCTAAAGGATTTTCTCAACCAACTGACCTTAAACTATTGTCACAGAAGCTGTCTTTCCCCTTCCCACCAAAGTTTATAACTACTGTTAAGTTGCTTATGAGCATTTCATGATGATCGCTGCAGCTCAGCTAATGGCAAGGAAAATCCTCTGGAATCTGTGTATTTTAAAAATGGTACATTCAGCCCATTTCAAATGCAAGGTTGGGAAGCTACGTAAGCAGGGAGAAAGGGGGGAGGAAAGGGATAAAAGAGGGAACCATACAGGTATGTGGTTTAGACTGAAGGGGCTTCTGGGTATTAAACCCAGAGGCTAGAGGATCACATTTGGCCCCTTTTCATTTTACACAAGCAGGAGGGTGCTACTGCACTGATGTCCAGTTTGGACATCGGTTTTCGCTAGGCATTTGGTTATCTGCTGTGTTAGCAGATATAGAGGTATAGAGGAGCATCCCCTGTAAGGGCAGAGTTAAGGTAGAGGGAATGATAAAATACTGGCCATTCTCTTTCAGATAGGAGGAAAAGGTGGCAGAAGATAAAAGGATGGGAAGGCAAGTGCATATATATTATAAAAAGAGGATGAATCTTATTGAAGGTAGATAAATACTAAGAGACTGAATTAGCTAAATATTAGTTGAAAGGGCTTTTTTCAGTGTTGGCTTGCAACCAGATGCCAAATGTTTAAAGTACTTGTGTTTCCCTCTAAATTACAAGAAAATAATCTTTCTTCTTGTTTGCTTTGCAGCTAAGGAATATATTACTCCATTCATTAGACCTGTAATGCAAGCTCTTCTTCATATTATTAGAGAAACGGAGAATGACGATCTTACCAATGTGATTCAGAAAATGATATGTGAATATAGTGAAGAGGTGACACCTATAGCAGTAGAGATGACTCAGCATTTGGTAAGTCTAGTCATACTTTTAGCATCCTCTGTGCTTGTACACTATAGCAGCTATCATTAATACCTTCATGACATGGTAATGTAAATTGTTAGCTATAATTTAACCTGTTTAGTTTGCTGCTGAGTATTATGTTGAGAATAGCAGAACACTATGAAGGTATTTTTCATTTTAAACTATAACAGATAAGATTGAATTATGTCTTCTTGGATTTATATCTTGAATTTAATTTGATGTAATAAATAAATTAGTATGGTAATTTAATTATTTTATTGATAACGTTAATCATAAAGTCATTGGGGGCTTAATTATGGCTGCCTGTGTATACCAGCCAATTCCATTGATTTCTGAATGACATGATAGAGGATGAAATGCTCCAGTGTTACCAAAATAGCGCAGACTTGTGATACTGATTTTAAAAATTGCGGGGAGGGGTAAGGATTCTTACCGTGTTACTTGGCCATGTGCCACCCCTTCTGTTCCTTTTTATGAGCCCAATGATTTACCTATATGCCTATTCTCTTTTTCTCTCTGATGGCTTCTTATTGACTCAATGAGGAGACTAATTTAGCATAATAGACAAAATAGATCCAATGCATTTCAGTAAATTGTTAAACCATTTTTTTATGTGGTAACAATTCTGTTATATTAAACGGAAGTCATTTGGGACTTTAATAACAGCATATAATATTGGAACTACTGTACCCACAAGTCTTGAAGAAAATGAATTATCATCAAAAGCTTGCTGTTTTTTGTTTGTTTGTTTGTTTTATTGGTAGTCCAATAAAGGTATCACTTGTTGCAGTATTTGCATTAGAAACTAGTCATTAACTTTATTTCCAGCTAAGTCTTTAAAGAGGTGTCTTGTACCCAATAGCAGCATTGTATTATCAAAATGATGGGTAGGGGTTAAAGTTCTGTTTTGAAATGTTTCAGTAAAACCACTGGCACCTATTCTTATTAATCTTAATAATCAGAATGGCTGTGAAATTTATGCTAGAATTATCAAGCGTGACATAGCCTCGTGGCAGAGTGTTTAAACCGCTGTATTGCAGCCAAAACTGTGCTCACGACCTGGGGTTCAATCCCAGGTAGCCGGCTCAAGGTTGACTCAGCCTTCTATCCTTCCGAGGTCGGTAAAATGAGTACCCAGCTCGCTGGGGGGGCAATGTGTAGCCTGCATAATTAACTTGTAAACCGCCCAGAGAGTGCTTGAAGTGCTATGGGGCGGTATATAATGCAGCACGCTTTGCTTTGCTTTAATTTAATTAGAATTTTAGTGAATTTCTTTCACCTCCTCTAGTATAGAAACAGAGCACTGCAATACACCGCGTATATGCCAGCCACTGCTTTTTTACAAATAGGGAACTGAGATTGTGTGAATTAGTTTCCCAGAATTGCTCAGATTCTTGTTGAGAGACGGACAGGATCCCAAATCAGACCTTTTACCCACTAGTCCAACAAGATGCTAAAAATGAAGAAAACTTAAATATTCTTCTAGATAAATAGTTACTGCTGAAGAAGTATGACTCCCATACGGCAAATTGTCTTGAATGTTTGTAAGTTTCCTTTATTCTTTTAGTTCATGGTTTAATTTTTATTCTTCCTCCTTGTAGGCAATGACATTTAATCAGGTGATCCAGACAGGACCAGATGAAGAAGGCAGTGACGACAAAGCAGTAACAGCAATGGGCATCTTGAATACCATTGATACACTTCTCAGTGTAGTTGAAGACCACAAAGAGGTGAGCATCTGTGCATGTAGTAATGCCACAGTTGTGAAGGACCGAGAAGTTTTAAATGCATTGAATTTTGGTTGGCCATTCCATATATTCTGCATAACATAATCCTCTTTTGGTTCTCAGCACTACATAAAAAATGTTCAGAGGGATTAGAATTTCATTGATCATTTTGGTATTCTAGGTCCCGCCACTTAATGTAACCAGTTAGTATCGTAAAATAATTTTGATTTAAAAAGAGGTGTGTGCCTAACATTTAATTCCAGGTCTCTTTAGGTCAACCAGATAATATATCAGCTATGAATAAGGCTACAGAGTTGATTCTAAGAATTACTGGTTTAGATTAGGGAACTTCAACCCTGCTACAGTGGTGCCTCGCATAGCGATTGCTCCGTTTAACGAAGAAATTGCTTTGCAACAATGTTTTTGCAATCGCTTAGCGATGGTCCCTATGGGGAAAATTTGCTTTGCGATGATCGCAGGGAAGCAATCATCGCAAAGCCCCCATTTTCGGCCAGCTGATCGGCGGTTCCAAAATGGCCACTGGGTAAACAAAATGGCCGCCCAGTGTGTTGCCTTGCTTTAGAGGCACCGAAAATGGCCGCCCCTATGGAGGATTTTCGCTTAAGGTTAGTTTTTAAGCCCATAGGAACGCATTAATGACATTTTAATGCGTTTCTATGGGCTTTTTAATACCGCTTAGCGATGAAATCACTTAGCAGCGATTTTTTCTGCACGAATTAACATCGCTAAGCGAGGCACCACTGTATTCCAGTTTTAAAGAAATGCTCAAATAGCAATAAAAGCAAAACTATGAATTACAAGAAAACAAGTTAATACATATAAAAATTATAAAATGATAGTCCAAAATGCACATTCCAGTAGCAGATTAATCAAAAATATGCAGAAAGAGAAGAGTCTTCAGTAGCTGGCAGAATACAGAAAGGGAAGGAGGAACTCTGGTGAATTTCCTAGCATATTCACTGTGCACTTGTGAAGAGTTAGAATACACTGAATGATTAGAGGCTTTGTTGACTAGAATCAAGTGGTGACACCTGGTATCAGATTTCACTTCAACGTTTATGAAGATCAGACGTTTCGTAGTTACTATGACATGAGTCAGAGCCATCAGCAAGACAACATAGGGCTATGTGTAACCTTTTAATATATAAGCAACTGTGAAAGGCACAAATTTAGAGTTCTGTTGGTATAACTCGAAAAGTCACCAGCAATATTTAATTTAAATTTCCTAGGGCTCCTTTTTATCCTGGGGAAGCCTTTGGGAACCTTGAGACAGAGGGAGGAACATTTAATAGTCAAAGTTTGTTGCTGGATTGCTGCTAGTGGGATTGGGACCCCCGCTAGTGATCTGGCACCACATCTTTACTATTAAAGTCACCTCCTCCCTGTCATCCCAAAGTCCCCAAAGACTTCCCTAGGGTAAAAGTGGGCTGTGGGAAGTTTCAGAACCTGAAAGAGGTGGATAGGAAGCTTTCCATTAGTTTCCAGTATCTGATCCAGGTTACACTGGCATAAATTTACACAAAGAGACTTTGTTTTAACACATCTAAGGACGCATACAAATATTTGGTATGGTCCTTATTGTTTTTGTTCCTATGGTACATTGTATGTTTATATTTATCCATGTGTTCTTAGATATACAGAAATCAGTGCACAGAACCAAGCCCAGTAATTATTCTGAAAGACAGCAGAGGTCCTGATCCTAAACAAATATGTGGAGAAGCATTTGATTCCTGTTTTTAAAAAAATCCCTTTGAGTTATTCAATAAACTGACCCAAACACTTGGAACTCCAGAAGCTGCCTCTGACAAAATCTATACATGCAGCAGAAAAGCCAGATGTCTTAAAGTATGCAAGATCTTTGATCACCTAAGAACATTTTTTGGATGATGTTCTACATACCAAAACTAAGCACTTCATTTTTTAAAATAAGCTTTGAAGCCAAATTGTTAAACACGTTGTGTATTTTATTTAAACCGTCTTCTTTAGATTACCCAGCAGTTGGAAGGCATCTGTTTGCAAGTAATTGGAACAGTTTTGCAACAGCATGTTTTAGGTAAGATACCATTTTCTTTTCTTTTTCCAGATGTTATAATTCTGCACAAAGAGCTACTGATTTGATGAAGTCAAATTTAATGACATGTTACTGTCTTCCAGAATTCTATGAGGAAATTTTTTCCTTAGCTCACAGTCTGACCTGTCAGCAGGTTTCAGCACAGATGTGGCAACTTTTGCCTTTAGTCTTTGACGTATTTCAGCAGGATGGATTTGATTACTTTACAGGTGAGATTTATTATTATTATTACTTTACAGGGAGACAATATTGCAGAACTGGAATGATAATCCCTACTAGCATCTTGAAGTTTTCTTAATGGCCAGGAGGTTAAAGAATACATAATTCATTTTTATTATTCTTTTCAAATTACAGATATGATGCCACTGTTGCATAATTATGTAACTGTTGATACAGATACCCTCCTGTCTGACACCAAGTACTTAGAAATGATTTACAGTATGTGCAAAAAGGTAGGTAGTACACTATTTTAATTTTTATTTAGCCATCCTTGTCAAGATGACTAAATTGTGTAGATTTAACTTACACAGTACAGAACAAGAAAAAGGCGACTAGGGTTCTTTCTCATATTCTATCTCAATTCAAATCAGGTAGATCACAAAAACTAGCATATCAGCAAGGACCTAATTCTTGAGACCTATGAAGTTAATCTCCTCTTTTAAGCTGAAAAGAGAAATTATAATTAGAGATGGGGGTATTCGGATTTGTATATCCCCTCCACAGGTGAGATACGGATGGTCCGCTCACGATTCTGCTGCTGACACAAGCCTTCCTATTGCTCCCTTGCTTGCGATGGATTACCCAATCCTGCCAGAAGGAGGGATGATGAGCCTCTCTGCCAGATTGCAGAGTGGCTAATCCATTGTGAGCAACAGAGTGATAAGAAGGCTCAGTTGAGCTCGCGTCAGTGGTGGAATTGTGAGTGGACTGTCTGGCCCCATGGGACCAGACCCTCGTATACGAACACTAATACCCCCATCTTCCAGACCCTCGTTATGTCCACGTGTGGGGGATATTCGTATACGAACACTAATACCCCCATCTCTAATTATAACTAAATAATAGTCATTTTATTTGTACTATCAACAGATCAAATGTTAATTAAATGAAACTACTAATAGGAACTGCATGTCCAGTTGTTCGTGTTGGTTACTTTTAAATCTATGTATTTAATAAATTAAAAAATCCATAGACTGTAACCCTCAAATTGTTCCCCCTGTTTGTTCACGTATACAGTGGGGTCTTGACTTGAGAACTTAATCCGTATTGGAAGGCAGTTCTCAAGTCAAAAAGTTCTCAAGTCAAATCTGCATTTCCCATAGGAATGCATTGAAAACCATTTGATCCGTATCTGCTCTTTTCCGTCCATAGAAATTAATGGGAAGCTGCTATTCCTCCTTCAACCACTAGAGGGGGATATTTTGTTTCTTTTTTTCTTAGGTCAAGAAAGGTTCAGGGAAGGCAGGGAAAATACAGTCCAGGCAGTACAGTGGACCCTTGACTTACAGAATTAATCCGTATTGGAACGGTGGCTGCAGGTCAAAAAGTCTGTAGGTCAAGTCTCCATTGAGCTACAGTGCATTGAAAACCGATTAATCCCATAACAGGCCGTTTTTGTTCCATTTTGGATTTTTTCTGGTCTGTAACTCAAATCTCAGTCTGCAAGTCAAATCTAAATTTTGCAGCCAGAGAAGTCTGTAACTCAAAAAGTCTGTAAGTCAAGCCGTCTGTAAGTCAAGGGTCCACTGTATAGGAAATAGAAAGTGAGTAATTAAATCCCCCTTGCCATAACCAGTCATGTGTATTCTGGCACCTAAGTGGATTCAGATTGGTGCATTCATGTGTGCATAATTTCCTGTTCACATCTAGCAGTATAGTTCCTTTGCATTTTTTATTTGGGGATGTATTGATCTCACAATACCTTTAGCCAAAGAGTAACTCGAGATCATAATTCAAATCCAGTGGTGTTAAAAGACAGATTTCTAGCTTACTGGCTTCCAAACTCTCAAGCATGTGCAGTACATTTTAAAACTCTAGTTTAAGTAATCTGCTTTGTTTTCATGCTGTGTGGTATGTTTCTTTGAATGGATAGCTTTATCTTCAATCTACTCTGCAAGTAAAATTTTTAAATATAGTGGTGCCTCTCAAGAGGAAAATAATTCATTCCGCGAGTAGCACCGTCTTGTGAAAAGCGGTTTCCCATAGGAATCCATTGTAATGCATTCCTATGGGAAAACTCGCAAGACAAATTAATTATTTTCGTCTTGCGAGGCATTAGTCATGTGAAAAAATCATCTTGCGAAGCACGGCCATAGAAGAAGCCATCTTGCAAGTCACCAACACAATCACAAAACACTTTCGTCTTGCGGGTTTTTCACCCGGCAAGGCGTTCGCCTTGTGAGACACCACTGTATACAAAATCCTTTCTGAAAATTCATATTTTTCCAGAATGTATTGGTTAAATACTATGTTTTAAAACAAGTGTTTAAGCTGATCTCAATAATATACTGGTTTTCACTTCATTTGGTAATCTACACTTTCAGAAATTACTGTGCTAGAGCTGTGTTTTTATAGGAGGTAGCATAGTTCCTCCTTGCAGATGTAGGCATCTCCAGACTAGGCAAACCTTCGAACCTTGATGAAGGGCCCACTTCTTTCTTTTCACAATTGTATGATGAGATACAACTGTAGGGGATAGAGAATGAATATCTGTATATATAAATATTTTTTATAGAGAGATATTTATTCTCTATCCCCTTCAGTTTCCCCCAAAATAAGACCTAACCTGAAAATAAGCCCTAGTATGATTTTTCAGGATGCTTGTAATATAAGCCCTACCCCCAAAATAAGCCCCAGTTAAGTGAAACCCCGCCTTCCACCATTGTGCAGCAACCAGTAGATGACATAACTAAAATAAAACATCCCGTGAAAATAAGCCCTAATGCATTTTTGAGCAAAAATTAATATAGAACCTTGTCTTATTTTTGGCGAAACACATCAGATTGCCTGTACTAGAAGAGAATTGTATTTTATATTCCTTTGATTTCATTGAAATTGCTAGAGGTTTTCTGTTTGTACTCATAATTTGCTGTGAGATAGGCAGGAACATTAATGTTTGATCAGTTCTTTCTTTATTCATATCAGAGCTTTGCACAATTCAAAATCACGGGCACACGAAATATAGGCAACAACAAAAAATTAAAATATCAAGAGAGACTTAATTTTGACCAAAAGCAGTCAGAGCATTACTTGTAATTGCCTGCAAACAGTAAATTGAATTTAATTGTATTTCTAAAAATGATGAACCCCATTAACTCCTTAACGGGCAAATTGAAACAGGAATTCAGATTGTTGGCATAAAATAATATTCAATAACTTTGTGCAAGTGAGGTGTTCTAATTTGGCTTCATGTAGTATGCACTTAATACAAACATACAAGAGTCCATTTGAACAAAGTTATTTTATAAAAATAAAAAATGCTACTGAATGTACAGGACTGAATATTGGTATCTATATGATCTTTCTTAGGTACTTACAGGTGTAGCAGGAGAAGATGCAGAATGTCATGCAGCAAAGCTTTTAGAGGTGATCATTCTACAGTGTAAAGGCCGTGGCATTGATCAGGTAAGAATAAACTTCTGAATAATTCTACCGTTTTTTTAATGAAGAGTAAGTGGTTAAGACAATACAAACACAATCAGAAGTATATGAGTTGTTAACGAAGTGAAAATTCATATGGTTGAGATCGTTGCATTCTTAGTTACGTAGTATTTTTGTGAGTGTGCTGTAGATGGCCACTTACAAATCTCATAAATAAACCTTTTGCCTATAGATAGTCACTTATTGCTCTGGAGTTTAATTAGTTATGCCTCTAATAGCAGTAGGGCAGCTGCATGTGGATGCCGGTTGTATATCTTCAAGCAACCTGATGTCTGGCAAAGTGAACACAGACAGTTCCATCACCCTTTCTCTCCATGGTCCTATCATCCCTCCTTCACCTGCTGTACAGTACATCAAGCTTTCTGCTTATCACAGTTGCTAAGGGGTATGTGGATGAAGGGATTAGATAAAAAGTAGATTGCAGGAACTGTACCTTCCTTGTTCCATTGGAGAGCTTAAAAGACGCTTAGGGTGCTTGGATTTCAATCCAAGTGTATCAAAATATCACCTTATGATGTCACTATAGCTGTATTGATGTTTTTAAATACTGTCATTGTATATTATAACACTAACCATGAGATATTTTCCCCATCCATTCAGTGTATACCTTTATTTGTGGAAGCTGCTTTAGAGAGGTTGACCAGAGAAGTTAAAACAAGTGAATTGAGAACAATGTGCCTCCAGGTTGCCATAGCTGCTCTGTACTACAATCCACATCTACTTCTGAATACTTTGGAAAATCTTCGTTTCCCCAATAATGTGGAACCAGTTACAAATCACTTCATTACACAATGGCTTAATGATGTAGACTGTTTCTTGGGGTAAGTTGTGTGTCTCTTGTTGTCATTGGTCCACTGGCACAAGTCCCATTCATCCTTTAATGTGTATCCTTTCCATCTAACTTCCTTGCAATGTGCTATATTGTGATTGGAGAAAGTGAAACACACTGTTGTTGGGCATATAGACCCTCTTTACCCATGCATTTCTCGACCATGTCTTTCTTGTTCCTGAAGTTAACAATAACATAATGTGAAATTTGCATTTCTATTTCAGACTTCATGACAGAAAAATGTGTGTACTAGGCTTGTGTGCTCTCATTGAACTGGAGCAAATACCACAAGTTTTAAATCAGGTTTCAAGCCAAATCCTGCCAGCTTTCATCCTTCTATTTAATGGTTTGAAAAGAGCATATGCTTGCCATGCTGAACATGAAAATGAAAGTGATGATGATGAGGAAGCAGAGGAAGATGAGGAAGCAGGTAAAGCATAGATTTTTTTCACAGCTTTTGAGTGGTATTTCACATGCTTTTCTTTGAATTTCTAGTGCTGAATTGTTTTTCCATTTTCCTTTGCTTATTTATCTTCATACTATATAGCTTCTCTTTGAGATGGGCTTCAATTGTACATAGTACATAGTCTGTTCCTTATTTTTCATATAGTAGTTTCCTTCCTGTATTAAATATTTCCAACTGCTTTTTCATTTTATATCTTTCTACTGTTTTATCTGAGTGTTCCCATTTAGACTTTTTGTCTTTCCACATTGCTTCCATTTCTCATTTGTAAACTATATAGTGCAGATTGACTAGATTTGCACTTTACTATATAGACATGGAAATTGCCCAGGCCTGAGAGAAAAATAGGGAAATTGTAATTAATTTCCCTGTTGTGATAATCAACAGAAAATAGCACAGCCTTTGCTGACATCACTCTGATCCTGCATGTTCTTACAGAGGAGCTTGGGAGTGATGAAGATGATATTGATGAAGATGGACAAGAATACTTAGAGATTTTGGCAAAGCAGGCTGGAGAAGATGAGGACTGGGAAGAAGATGATGCTGAGGAGACAGCTTTGGAGGGATATTCAACAATTATTGATGATGAAGATAATCCCGTTGATGAATACCAGATATTTAAAGCAATTTTTCAGAGTAAGGGCAATTGTAACATGCACCATAGACCTGTGCTAACTCTTTTGTCTGATGTGTTGAAAAACGAGTAATAAAATGTCTTGTATTGAAGGACATGCAGGTAGTAACTATGCAGTGTTGATTAGGCGTGCAGTGGAGTACTATAAAATACAGGATGGAGAGCTGTGGTTATAAACTCCATCCAAAGCATTCAGTAAGTTGGTGTCTGCATCAGTTTTCTTTGATAGAGATGTGATGCATAAGTGGTTGGTTATTCCAGCTAGAGCTACTACATCTTCTTGTCTTGCAAATTCTACTTAGTAATATCTGATTATAATTGTCTTATGGACTCCCCAGGTTGTAAGAGAATGTTCAGAAATGCATATCATTTTTGTGGGAAAAGAAACAATATTGGAGAAGGGGGAAAACAATCTACCATTTTTGAGAAGCAAATTATTATAATCGCCAATTAATTTTTTTTTCATCCATTCATTCTCTTGGAGTGTTGTTTAAAATTGTCTGAATCAAACGTCAGGAGCTGAAAACAAGCAATTTTGCAAAACCATGATCTGATGCTGCAAAAATTAATAGACTATAGTCATATGCATTTCTAAAACCCATAAATTGTGCCTATCTTGAATGTGCATCTCCTGATGCTAAAAAGTTTTCAATTGCTTTCACATCTGTTTGTTTCATAGCAATTCAGAACCGTAACCCTGCATGGTATCAAACTTTGACACGGGGTCTTAATGAAGAACAAAGAAAACAGTTGCAGGACATTGCAACTTTAGCAGATCAGCGAAGAGCAGCCCATGGTATACATTTTCTTACTAACTTTTATTATTAGTTACTGTGTTTGCCATGTCGTGTTGTGGTTGAAATGGTGGTGGTAAGACCAGTCTGAGTTCTCATCAGAACTAAGCAAATTCAAATTAGTACTCCAATTTAGAGCCATTCACAAAATAAATTATATCAAATCTAAAAATCTAAAGACTAGTAAGGGGAAGACTGATTAGCTACAATGGATTTAATTAAATCATGGTAAGGTAAAGGTTCCCCTTGACATTTAGTGCGATAATGTCCGACTCTAGGGCGTGGTGCCTGCCCCTGCCACCCCTCCCGACCCCAGCAAAGCGCCGCTTTCAAAAGACTCCTGGGGCTTGTTCAGCTGTGGAAGAGCACCCAGGAGGCTTCTGAAAACCGCGCTTTGCCTGCAGGCGGGGCGGGGGGGGCGGGCCTACCCCTGCCACCCACCCCGGCAAAGTACAGCGCCGCGCTTTGCCTGCAGGCGGGGCGGGGGGTCGGGCCTACCCCTGCCACCCACCCCCACCCCGGCAAAGCACAGCTTTTAGAGGCTTCCCCGGTGCATTTCCACTGTCTGTTTACCTGCTGGGCAAACCTGGGGAAGCTTAACCCAGCGCCAGTCAGCTGTGAGGCGGGGAGAGGGAGGGGCTGGAGCGGAGAAGAGCAGAAAATGGCTGCTGGCTCCCTGCTGGGTGCTGGCTCTGAGCTGTTTAGTGCTCTTTTTCCTGCTGCTCTGAAGCTACCAAGGGAGTGTGAGGAGCCTGGCTCAGTCTACAATCTACAGGGAAGTGATTTATTTTATTTATTTATTTTGTTTTGGACTTTTTTCCATAGGAACGCATTAATTAAATTTCAATGCATTTCTATGGAAAACCATGCCTCGCAAGACGACATTTTCGCTAGACAGCATTAACCATGGAATGGATTAATGTTGTCTTGCGAGGCACCACTGTACATGCTTTCGAACTGCTAGGTTGGCAGGAGCTGGGACAAGCGGCGGGTGCTCACTCCATTGCGTGGATTCGATCTTACGACTGCTGGTCTTCTGACCCTGCAGCACAGAGGCTTCTGCGGTTTAACCCGTAGTGCCACCATGTCTCTCTCTAAATCATGGTAGACTGGATTAATATTTTGTAAATATAATTAACATCAACTACATAATTGCATAAATGTTCTGGTTGCAGTAAACTGACATTGCTTCCCTTCATTGCATTTCAGCACAGATTGTTTCTCCATAGATTGATGGTTCCCATCCTTGGGTTTCCAGATGTTTTTGGACTACAACTCCCAGAAATCCAGTACAGCTTCTTGGAATTTTAGTCCAAAAACATCTGGGAACTCAAGGTTGAGAACCACTGCTATGGAGGGATGTTGATGGAATACATTCCTCTGAAATAGCAAGCAGCTAATGCTATCCATTTACACAGAAGTAGTTCTGAATTTTATGGAAAAAAAGCTATAGCTTAACTTTGTATTCCCCTTTATTGGGAAGTTGTGAGATCTGCTGCTGGTTTGGGAGTGGTGAAAATATGCATATATGAAGAATGAGGGTGGCAGGTGTCACAGATTTCTGTCCCTAGAGTTAACCTTTGTGGCTGAAATCTGTATGCAGATTTTCCTCAAAGCAACCTGACCAATATTCTTATGCAGGGGGTCTCGACTTACGAACGACCCTACTTGCGAACAGTTCAACTTACGAAACCGCCCTATAGGGAAAATAAGGACTCGACATATGAACTTCCCTCGAGTTACGAACAGGGAAAAAAGTGCCCCCTCCCTCCCCTTAGAGGCTTCTGGAGGGGAAAAAAGGGTCAGAAACTTTAAAATAAATACAAGAAAGTCACTTACCAGGCCTTGGTAGCCCCAAACAGCAGGAAAAAGAAAAGGAAACAACTAAAAGCCCACACCAGAAGGGAGCCTGGCAGCCATTTTGTTCTTTTCCCCTGCTCCTGCACCCTCCTCTCCCCGCCTATCAGCTGATCAGCTGCCTCTGAAGAGCCTTGGGGAGGCTTCCTCAGCACCTAAAAAGCCTGCCTGTGTGTCTTTGTGCTGAAAAAATCAGCACAACATGCTTTAAAACATGATTTAAAATTGGCTTCAGTGAAAAAAAAAAGATTTCTAAAGTGCTTTGCAAACTGTTCCCTGCCTTCCTCCTCGTTTCCTGAACCTAAGGGGAAAAAAAGAAAAAATATCCCCCTCTAGTGGCACAAGGCAGAATAGCAGCTTCCCATTAGTTTCTATGGACGGAAAAGAGCAGATACAGATTAAATGGTTTTTCAATGCATTCCTATGGGAAATGCAGATTCGACCTACAAACTTTTCGACCCAAGAACCACCTTCCAATACGGATTAAGTTCGTAAGTCGAGACCGCACTGTATATTACCCAGCAGAACAGCAATTAATCTAAGGAATTGAATGCAGTAATTTCCTAGTAAATTTATCATTAGTATATGGTTGTGAAGGGACATGGTGGCG